TCCCTGTGTTCCGCCCCCCAATCCCCCACACATCGAGAGCAGCGCAAGGCCCCCTGCTGGGGGTGCCCCCGCACCGCTGGTGCTCACGGTGCAGTTCTTTGAAAGGAGGAGGAGGAGGAGGAGGAGGAGGAGGAGGAGGAGGAGGAGGAGGAGGAGGAGGAGGAGGAGGAGGAGGAGGAGGGGAGGGCGAGACTCAAAGTTTGTGAGAAGCGAAGGACTGGAGAGTCTGGATGCGGCAGCCACCGGTGTTCTAGGTGGTGAGCTTCAGGTTGAAATGTGAACCGTCAGCGGTGATGTTCGCGCTGAGGGCGGCTCGGGTTGCCGTTTGTCGAAACACGCAGCCTGCGGGTCCTCATGAGCGCCCACCGAGTCGCCGTGCGAGGCGGCCGAAGGCGGTTGTCTTATCGCGGTGGCCCAGTTGACGTTTGGGCGTGCGTTGCAGTAGGTCTGGCGCGCAGCGCGTCGGAGCGGCCCCGGCCACTCTTGCCGCGAGCGGGGTGGCGTGATCAGGGCCGCTCCCCTCGCATCACAGGGCTCCCCGCGAGTGCCTCTCCCTGACCAGCCCAGGATGTCCACTGCCTGCCGAGGCGGACAGAGGGTGCCTACTGATGGATGGGTCGTGGAGCGGTTCTGGGGATGCCAGCTGGCAGAGGGGAGGCTCACGCCACCCCTGGCAGCGGCTGGTGCCGTTGGGTCGGGGGCGGCGAGGGGGGGTGGCGGGTACTCGAGACGGGCGGGTTGGCGTGGGTGTCGATGGCGCGCGGCGGTGCGGTGGCAGCGGCCGCCCTGGCCCTTGCCGCGGCGGCGAGAGTTCCCCCGTCCCCCCCGTGATCCAAGCCATCCCCTCCGCCACAAGAGAGAGAGAGAGAGAGAGGGAGAGAGAAGGTGAAAGTTCGTGGGGCGTGAAGTGGGCGGGCTAGTCAAGGGGCAGGTGGGCGGCCAGGAGGGAGGGGAAGGCTGGGCGAGGCGGCTCACGGCTCCTGAGCCTCCCGCCGCTGATCTTCAAAAGTGGCGGCTCACCACCCCTTCAGTTCGTTGGCTGCCACTCTGGCCGCTGCCCCGCGCATGCCCCACCACGGGCTCCCTCTCAGTGCATGCGGCCACTCGGGGCGCGGCCGTCGCGAGGGCCGTGGAGTGGGGGGCTCGTGGGGGCCGTCGGGCAGTGCAGGGGGCCGTGGGGGCCTTGGCGGGGGCCGTCGGGAGAGTGGTCGCGGGGGCGCGGGGACGTGGGGGGGTCGTGGCAAAGCGTTGTGGCCTTGGCGGGCGCGTCGGGGGAAGGGAGGGCGTCGTGGGGAGAGGGGTCGTGGGGGGAGAGGGTCATCTCCGGTAGAGCTGCCGCCGTCCCTGCCGCCAAGCGGCAGGAAGCGGGTTCGGCGCGCCGCAGTTGCCCGATGTCGCGTCCTTGTCCTCCTCGGGATTCCGTTTCCCCTGAGGAGGCGGTGTCGTCTTTCGTAGTCGTGCTCGTGGGGAGCGTCGGCGTCGCCGTGGAGGGGGGCGTCGTGGTGGTTGCGTGGCGTCAGTCGTGGTGGCCGCGGCCGTCCTCGCGCTCGCCTTGGCGATCGCCGTGCGGGGGGTCGTCGCCGGGGTCGCCTCGGGGGGGTCCGTCGCGTGGGCCGCCGTCGTGAGGGTCGTCGCCCAGAGGCCGTCGTGGGGGGCGTCGTGGGGGGTCGTCGCGGGGGGCCGCCTTGCGGGGCTGCGACGGTAGCCAGGTTGGGAGTCGTGGGGTCGGCTGTCCGGTCGTCCGCCCAGCAGTCCGTGAGGGAAGCGCTGTCCGCGAAGCCGAGGGGGTCCTGGCAACGGGTCTGGCGCGGGGCGTGCGTCGGGCGAGGCGTCGGGTTGGGGGCGGGGAGGATCGTCGGTCTGGGCGTCGCGGAGTGTGTCGGTGAAGGCGTCGGGAGGGGAGTCGGCAGGTCCGTCCGTAGGCCTGTCCTCGCGCCCGTCTTGTCGGCGTCGCTGGGGGGCGTGGCTTCGTCGTGGTCGATGTCGTCGTCGCTTTCGGGGTGAGGCCGTTGAGGGAGCCGTCGTGGGGGCAGCTGCGGGAGGTCGTCGCAGGGTCCGTCGCGGGGGCCGTCGTCGGGGCTGTCGGGGGGGGGGGGTTGTCGCGGGGGCCGTCGCGCAGCGGCCGTCGCGGGGGGCCGTGGTGGTGGGTCGTGGGAGCTCTTTGGCTGGGTGGGGGGTCGCAGGGTCGGCGGGGGGGGCGCGGGCGGGGGGCCCCAGAGAGTGTCTGCGGCTGTCCTCGTGACCGCTTCCCTGGGGATGCCCTCCGCGGGCTCCCTCTCAGGGTGTGCCCTGCCGAGGGGCCAGCGGCGCAGGCAGTGGGCTGGCCAGCCGCTCCTCTGGCCGCTCCTCCGGGCATGCCCCCCGGAGGCTCCCTCTCAGGGCGTGTGGTCACTCGGGGCGTGGCCGTCGCGGCGGCCGTAGGGTGGGATGGCGTGGGGGCCGTCGTGGGGTTCGTCGTGGGAGGTGAGCGCAGGGGATCGCGGGGGCCGTCGTGGGGGTGGGTCGTGGGAGCCGTCGGCTCGGGTGAGGGCTCCTGGCGTGGAGGGTCGCGGGAGTCTTCGGGTTGAGTAGGGGGTCGTCGTGGAGGCCGCCCGGCGCGGGGTGTGGGGCAAGGAATCGTGGGGTCGGCGGTCCGGTCGTCCGTCCTGCGGGCCGTCCAGCTGTCCGTGAGAGGAGCATTGTCAGCGCAGCCGCGGTACTCCCAGTAGGGCGTCGAGCGCGGGGTGCGCGTCGGGCGCGGAGTCGGGTGAGGAGTGGACTGGGCGTCGGTTTGGGCGTCGGGGAGTGCGTCGGGAAGGGCAGTGCTCCTGGCGACCGTTCCTGGGTCACCGCTGACCTGGCCAGGCCGGCCTGCGGCTCCATGATGCACCCCACAAGAGGCATCTGTTGCCAGACACTGGTAATGCCGCCTTGAACCTTGAGGCAGAACAGTTCCTTCCCGATTCCATCCCCCAGTCACCGCGCAGCGAGGAAGCAGAAGTCGGAGAGGGCGTCGGTTTGGCCGTCGGTCGGTCTGTCCTCGTGCCCGTCCTGCCAGTCCCTCGGGTCTGCCTCGCATGGAAGGGGGGTTCCGTCGCGGTTGTGATTGCCGTCGTGGCAGACGTCGTCTTCGTCTTCGTCGCCGTCGCGGTGGGGCCGTTGTGGGGACCGTCGCGGAGTCAGCCGTGGGGGGCCGTCGCTGGGTCCGTCGTGGGGGCCGTCGTGTGGGCCGTCGTGGGAGCCGCGTCGGGGGTCCGTCGTCAGGCCTCCGCGTGGCCGTCGGGGGGGTCTGTTTTGGTGGTGGGTCGTGGGGGCCTTCGGGTTGGGCGGAGGGTCGTGTGGCAGTCGGGCAGTCGGGGGGGTCGGGTGGGGGGCTCCAGGGGGTGGCTCCAGCTTTCCTACGGGCCGATTCCCCGGGTATGCCCCCCGCATGCTCCCTCTCAGGGCATGCGGCCACTCGGGATGTCGAGCCCTCCGCGGGGCAGGCGGCGCCAGCTTTGGCCTGGCCAGCGGCGCCGGCTCCCTCTCAGGGCATGCAGCTGGGGGCGTGGCTGGGGGGGTCATGGAGTCCGTCGTGAGGGCCGTGGGATGTTGGACCTTGGGGGTTGGCGTAAGAGGGGCACGCCGGGACGGCAGGCAGAAAACCCCATCATCGCGGCGGTTGGCGTCGGCGTCGGTGGCCCAGAAGCTGGGTGGCACGGCCGGGACGGAGATGGCCGCCTCCCTCCTCGTGGTGGAAGGCGTCCTGTCCGCCTGGGCGCAGGGCGCGATGGGGTGAGGCTGGCCAGGGGGTTTGGCGCACGGCTGGGCGTCAAGGTGGGGACACCTCTCGGACTTGGTGCCGGCGTGGGCGTGTGGAGGGGCGTCGGACACGGGAGGGACGTGTGGAGGGCGCCGCCGCGGAGTGGGGGTCGTTGTCGTCGGGTCGGGCGTCAGGCACTGGGGGGGCGTGGGGCAGGGCGCCGCTGCCAGCGTCGTCCTCGTCCTCGCTCAGTCCCGCGGGGGGATCCGCGCCCCCGAGACGGGCAACGGCTTGAGCCAAAGTGGCTTGAGCCAAGATGGCTACGGGCTCATCGTCGTCGTCGTCGTCGTCGTCCTCCTCCTCCTCCTTCATTCTTTCCCTGTGAATGACTCCTCCCTGTCGCACCCCGAAGCCAGTCGGAAGGGCGGGCCAGGCGTTTCGCCTGAGACGTCCTTACCATTTACGAGCCTGGAGCTTAGAAGCTGGCAACAGTTCCAGAGATGGAGGGAGACTCGCTTTCAAAATGTGGCTCTCGCCTCAGCGCCGCTCACATTCTTCCTCAACATTTGCAACAGTTTCGCATGTTGAGGGCGGGTGGTTTTCAAATAGTGGCTCTCGCCTGAGCGCCGTTCACATTCCTTATACATGTGCAAGAATTTCGTGAATTGAGGGCGGTTCGTTTTCAACATGTTGCTCTCGCCTTTCGCTTCACATGTGCGCTTCAGACATTTGCAAGAGTTTCACGCGTTGAGGGCAGTTCCGTTTTACAATGTGGATCTCGCCTTTGCGCTGCGCACATTTTTCAACATTTGCAGGAGTTTCGCATATATTCATGGTTAACCTTCCAGAAATGGTGATGTCGAGCGATTCAGGATCGTCGGATCGCAACAATGACGTTGATTCGTGGCGATGCAAGAGTCAGTTTGACTCGTGGCGTTGAAGTCCTGGCACGCTTCAAGATTTTGACACGGTTCTCTCCCAACGGGGCATTTCCTTCAGTGGAAATGAATTTTTGAATGGGGCTTATGAGGGAGCTTGGAGGGAGGGTTGTATCCCAATATCGTTGATGAGTCTTGGGTTTACACTGGTCCTCCTCCTCCTCCTCCTCCTCCTACTGCGTCTCCTCCTCCTCCTCCTCCTCCTCCTCCTCCTCCTCCTCTTCCTCTTCCTCCGCCTCCTGCTCCTCCTTTTCCTCCTCCTCCTCCTCCTCCTCCTCCTCCTCCTCCTCCTCCTCCTCCTCCTCCTCCCCCTCCCCTTTCACCTCTTTCCTCCCGCGCAGGCGCAAGACGTTCAAGGGCGACAGGAACCACGTGGTCACCTGGTTCGAGTCCCAGGGGGCCGAGAACAGGACGGAGCCCGAGGAGACCGCGCGGGGGCCGCCCGGCCTGTGGAGTTCCCGAGGAGACTTGCTAGGGCCACCGGCTCGAGGGACGGAGGCCCCAGTCGGGCGGGGCTGGGACGAGGAGAAGTCCGTTCCTGAGCGTTCCGGAACGCTCCCAGAGTGTTCCCGAACGCTCTGAGAGGGCCGCGGCGCCCGATGCGTCCTCCGGTCCTCGACAGGCGCCGGATCTCAGAGGTTCTCGATTCATCCTCACCCGGGTTCAGCGTCGTCCTGGCTTCGTCTCAGGTCCGGGGGTGGCAGGGCATGGAAGAAGTCGGGCTTCCATTCCTGGGGGGTGCAGGTCGCCTGCGGCGTGGCAGACCTTCTGCAGCTCTGTTTCTGCTCCGTCCGCGGCACCAGCAGGTCCTGACCCTTTTCCCTGGTGGCAGTTTTTAGCTCTTCGTACACGCGGGTCGTTGAAAGTAGGTATTTTTTTGTTCCCAGATCTCAATCTACCTTAAGCGCCTTCCTTCCTACTTCAAGAGCCGATCTGCTTTCGCTGTGTTTTGTTATTTTCTGGGAGGGCCTGGATCCAATTTGCTTTAGCCGCCTTCCTACTTCATGCTTTTACTCACTTCTTCCGACCGACGCGTATCGGATTCGTTTCTGGTGGCCGCAGGGCTCGAACACGACCCCCAGGATGCCAAAAGTCAAGAGAAAGCCGCCGCGATGGGACACGGAAGCTCCGCCAGTTTTAGTTCTTCTTGTTGGATGCGTTTCTGATGGTCCCGGGGCTCGAAGAAACGACCCCTGGGATGCCAAGAGTCCAGAGGAAGCTGCCGCGATCAGGACACAGAAGCTCCGCAAGTTTTTTAGCTCCTCCTCTTGGATCCGTCTCTGATGGCCCCGGGGCCTGAAAACGACCCGCAGGGTGCCAATCGGCGTCACCCCAACACACTTATACTATACAGTTGGGGCCTTGAAGAAGGAACGCTTTTCGTTGGGGAGGGGCTCGGTGTTCCTTGATTGTTTTACAGTTTGCCTCGGGTTTCCCTTAGGTTTTTGTATGGGAAATCGAAGTTCAACTTATGGAAAAGAGGGACCTCGTTCCTTATTTAGGGTTCCTTAGGTCAACGCCTCGACTGTATGTGCGTCGACCCCCCAGGGGCAACGTGCGCACCGAGAACATCTTGCAGTATATGCGTCGTTGCGGGCGCTTTCTGGCCACGCCGCTCCGGAAGCGATGCAATTACTAGGTACAAGATGGGTATACTGCATGTTCGGGTCGGGCGCGCGCCTCCAAGGAGGACATGCAGTACTAGCATATGCTTGTGCCTTGCCGCCAAGCGTCGAGGGAAAGCCGCCGCGAGAAGGGCACGGACATGTTAACGCCAGACGTGCGCGGGCCGCGCGCCACGCGTCGCGGCCCGGGCCGGGCGGCCCCGCCCTGCGCGAGGGCGGCCGAGCGAGGGTCGGCGGATTCGTATTGTGATGACGGTGACCCGGATAAGTTTGATGACGATGCTGAAGGCTAAGAACAAGTCAGGCGTGTCCCTCCACAGGAGGAATATCCAAAACTAGTAGAAATAGTCGGTGGACGATTTGTCGATTATTTTTCGACCATTTGTGGGTTACTTTTCGACTGTTTGTTATTTTTCTTTCAAAATCCGCCTGTGGGAGGACACGCCCGACCTAAGACTAAGATGATGACGATGGTGGCCATGCTGATGATTATGATGACGACGGTTGTGTTAAGGTCGGTCGTGATGCTTTTTTTGATGCGTCGGCGACGAGTGATGGCAGTGCCGATTGTGACGATGTTGACGGTGATGGCGATGAGGATGGTGATGATGATGACGATGATAGTGACGACGATTCTGACGATGATGATTATGATGATATCGATGACTACG